TCAATCAAGTCATGAACTCCTTTCTTCCCCCACTGCCTCCCCAACAACCCCCTTCCTTTCCCACCCACCCCCCCAAAGTTTGCTATTAATTTGTGGAGTCCTGTAACGTAGTGGTTAGAGCACTCGCCTTGCAAGAGAAAGGACCTGGGTTTGATTCCCGGGCTGGGCAAAACGTTGGCAAAATATCCTTACTACACACACTTCTGTTTACCGAGCAGTAAGTAGGAATCCTATTGTTAGTCGATTGGCAGATTGTTTCTCTGGGGGTAATAATCCCTTCAAAAAAAAATAAACTGGTCACTCAATCCACGACTGTTTGTGGAACACAGCTGTACGCAGTTGGCTGCTTTGAGGCTGCTATTAATTTGTGGAGTCCTGTGGAGTCTCGAAGACCTGATAAGGTGCTATATCAAATATAACGATTATTATAAAAATTCTTGCATTTGGTATAGCGCCTTATCACGTAATAGAGATGTCTCAAAGCACTTCACGGAATATACCGTAAAGTGAATTGGCTGCATATTTTGTGGGCGAAATGCGGCAGCCAATTGCGCACAGCAGTGTCCCACAAATAGTTGTGGATTGAAGTGACCAATTTATTATTATTATTTTAAAGGAATTATTACCTTCTCTCAGGTCTCTCGCTTGCAAGGTGAGTGCTCTACCACTGAACTATTATTATTATAGAGCACTCGCTTCGCAAGCAAGAGGACCCGGTTCGATTCCCGGCAGGGTGAAACCTTAGGCATGTTTCCTAGCTCCACACGCTTCTGTTTACCTAGCAGTAAGTAGGAACCCGGTTGTTATTGGGGATCGCTTTCCGGGGTAATAATCCCTTTAAAAATAATTTGGTCACTCAATCCACACTGCTGTGCACAATTGGCTGCCATGTTTTGCTCACAAAATACAGCCAAGCCACTTCACAATTTATTCTGTGAAGTACTTCAGTTACATGATAAAAAACAAATGCAAGGATTATATTATTTTTATTAGGCATTTCCCAATATAAGCGCAGGTCAGCAAAGTCACTATACTTAGCACTGAGAAATGTCTGACCACATATATGCAGTGGGTTCTCAAAAGATCACGAGAATAGGTTCAGATGATTTGTCCTTTTAATCTTATCCTTCCAGAATACTCTCCCGTGACTACTGGATCTATTTTAGTGAAACACAATAGACGGAGATCCTGTAACCATGGACACCAGAGTACTCCATTGCCAGCTATAATTTAGTGTTAAAAGGTTTTAATCGCACTGATGATTTCACCGCATTGCTGTCATTCCCATCTCTGCCCCCTTAAAGCTCTGCCTTTTATACATTTAAATATCATCACATGGTGCGGTGTTGTTACACATTGTTGTAGAAAAATTGTGTCTGTTGAGTATTTTTAGCACTGCCGTGCTTCTCTTGAGTGGTGAAAGTAGGTTACGTATTTTATTGGAGTTTGCTACCGTCTGAATTCATTTTGGAAACCCACCAAGGTTAAGTAGCACTGATAAGCAGCATAACGTGATATTTACTGCATAGACAACATACCAGTGGTCATCTGCTGGGCTGACACACACCAGATTTACAACAGTAAAGTGCATGGACACTGCTTCAATCACAAAGGTTGTCTCTCCATGTTATGTTCCTGTAAAATAATCAAATGTGGATTGGAATCTTTATCTCATTAAACAGAAAACAGGAATCAATTCCCTTAAATTCCCCTGGTCAAAGTTTCTCAGGTTAATAGGTCATTCACTTCATAGCTTTTAGTAGGAATTTGCTGTGTGGAAATAGTTGCTGCGTTTTGCTAACTGAAATAACAACAAATGACATTTGTATAGCACTTTCCATATCGGGAGGACATACCAAGGCACTGGACAGTCAGGGATTTGGACCTGAGCTGTGGGTTGGGATCAGGAGGGGTGGAGGGCAGGGAGGGTAGGCGTAGGGGGGTGACCACAGGTGTGTTTGAAGAGGAGGGTCTAAAACAATCACCATGTTTGGCTTTAAATATCTGCGAAACACTTTGAGACGTTTCGGTGTGAAAAGGCAACATAAAATTACAAGTTATTTATTTCAGATTTAGTAGGTTTATCTGAACCCAATGCAGTCGCCTTAAATTCCACCAAGTCTTAGGCTGATCAATTTTGTCTTAAAATTTTTAAGATCATGAATTATAATGATAACAATCCTTGCCTTTGACATAGTGCCTTATTACATTGTTGAGATATCTGAAAGTACTTCACAGAATATACTGTAAAATGAATTGACTGTGTATTTTGTGGGCAAATCTAGGATTATGTGTTATGAGGTGGGAAGTTGGTTTTCTGCAGCTTTGAAAAAGCAGCAATTTCCAAATAAGACTTGATGTCGTTCCTCAAAGCCAGCCTGACCTTAAATTTAAAACCAAAGTAATCTCACACGGCTTTGACATCGATTGAGCTTCAAGTTTATAAATCACAACTGGATATAAATCACCCCCCTCTGGTTGCATTGAGGCACTTCTGTCTTGTATAAATTGCTTTCTCACATTAGGAGGACCAGAAAATGGCTGCGAATGTATGATAATCTATGCGAGGCCTGATTCTTTGATGTGTCAACGGTCCATTGAACTGACTGCTGAGTTTTACTCAGCACAATGCACTATCCTCTCTCACCCATGAAAGTCTAAATCATTTGCTAGTTACAGCCTATTGTTTGAAGGGTCCTCCTGAATCATTTACAGAGATGAATTTAACACTTATGTGGGATTACTGTCCCCTTTCCCACCGCCCCACACCCCAATAATATATCAGTGAAGCGGCTGTCTTGCACCACAACCCTACAGCCTTGAATGATGTCCTTTGCAGTTGTTGCTTGTGACAAGGCAACGGCACATTGTCTAGTTGCTGGTCAGACTGGTGGATGGACGCCACAGGCAGTCATGTCACTCTGCGCGAGCAATCGAAACCGACACCGGTCGTCTCGCCTGGTGGCTGAATGCGTCTCCTCTCACTTGTCCCCAGAATGATATTGTTAACTGAGTTATGGAGAATCTACGGCTAATAATCCCTGCAATAAATAAATTAACTAAATTAATAAATAAATAATAATTTGGTCTCTCAATCTACGACTGTTTGTGGGCACTGCTGTGCGCAATTGGCTGCCACATTTCATCGACAAAATGCAGTCAATCCACTTTACATTATAAAGTAATGCTCTGGGACGCTACCCCACGTGAAGGGTGCTGTATAAATGCAAGTTGTTGTTGTATATTCCGTAAAGCGCTTTGAGATGTTTCAACCACGTGATAAGGCATTATATCAAATGCAAGGATTATTATTATTATTCCTATTATGGTTTCCACATTAGTTGAATGGAAGGAAAGCAGAGGGTTGTCATTGGGGGAAATTGGCCAGGATGGGGAAAGGAGCTGAAATGAAGGCCAGGGTGGATATCTCGTAAGTATTTGGACCCATTCTTAACATTAATAACTTGGATTCCCAGACTCAATGCAAAGTAGTGAAATTTACAGATGACACTAAATTGGGGAACAGGACTATGGAATCAGAAGAGGCAGCAAAGGTCTTACAAGGGGAGCTCGGTACATGGACAGATCATTGAGAAATTAACTGATGTCATGTCCTCCGAATTACAATGTTTTGAGCTTTCGCTATACAAGTTTTAAAACAAAAAATGGGAAGAAAAGATATTCAGAACCAACCAATTCCCATAGGCAAATAACTGGGCCCAATTATCCACAGTTCATTCACAATTATCCACAAAGTATAGTCAATCCACTTTACAGTGTATCCAATGAAGTGCTTTGAGACGTCTCGATGATGTGACAAGGTGCTATATTAAATGCAAGGATGATTATTATATAATGAAGGGGACAATGTCACTTCCATGTGCTGGTGCCTTGAACACGGATAATTTATTGCTTAAAAAAAAGTAGATGAAGCCAAAATCGTTATCTTCAGGGTTTGACTGAGGATATTTCCCTTTTATGCCCTAAATAACAGATGGTAGAAAGAACAAGAAACTCAGTGATTCTCTAAATCTCTATGATTGTCTGAACGAGAGATTGACTCAGCCAAACGCCCAAGAGAAACATTTACCCCAATTGCGTGTTGAATTTTTTTGCACTGCTGCCCCATACTAGTCAGAGCGTGTGTTGTATTGGTTACATGATTATGCATTAAAAACTGTAAATGGGGAGGGGGAACTAGATATCATGAAATAATCTTGATTATTTATATGTATAAGTTATTTTGTGTGTCAGCCTGGCGCAGTGCTAGCACTCTCGACTCTTGACTCAGACGGTTATTGGTTCACACCTCACATCGGGAATTGGAATCACATAGTCTAAGCTGACATTCCAGTGCGGAGCTGGGCGGGGGCGATTGCATTGTCGGAGGTGCCATCTTTCAGACATTGAACCAAAGTCCCGCCTGTCTGTTCAAATAGATGTTAAAGATCCTATGGTACTATTCAAAAAAAGAGCAGGGAGTTTCCCCAGTGTCCTGGCCAACAATCCCCCCCCCCACCCCCACAAAAAAAAAATTGATTGCTCACTCCAATGGCTGTTTGTGGGACACTGCTGTGCACAACTGGCTGTCGCATTTCACCCACAAAATACACAATACACAGTCAATCCATTTAACAAAATATCCTGTGAAGTGCTTTGAGACGTCTCAACTATGTGATATGACGCTATATCAAATGCAAGGATTATTAATGGTGATTTAGATTTATTGTGCGCAATTGGTTACCGGGTTTCAGCCACAAAATATACAGTAAATTAACTTTACAGTATATTCTTTGAGAGTCTCAAAACAATGTAGTAAGATGCTATATCAAATTCGAGAATCATTATTTATTCAGCCTAATTAATGTAATGTAATAAAAGTTGTGAAACGACAGAATGGATATCTGAAATATTATTTGCAACTAAGAAAGTGCATTTTCCTTTCTCTCTCGCTCTCTCTCTCTCTCCCTCTTACCCCCTTCATAACCCGCCGCCATCAGGTTCCTGTTTCTGGGTCACAGTCCTGGATGGGAATGTTGTGGGCATTGTAGCAGCGAGAGGCAACGAAGAAGATAACACGGTGGAACTGCGCCGTATGTCGGTGGACGCCAAATACAGGGGGAAGGGAATCGCCAAGGCCTTGGGCCGTAAAGTCCTGGAGTTCGCCATGCTCAACAACTACTCTGCCGTCGTCCTGGGAACCACTGCCGTCAAAATGGCTGCCCACAGGCTGTACGAATCATTAGGGTTCAAATATGTGGGGGTCACTGAACACTACGTGCTTCCAGGAATGAGCCACTCCATCTTGGAGAGAATGTTTTTCCAGCTCCACTATCACCGCTACCGGCTGCAACTCCGTGAAGAGTAAAGAATCAACCTTTCTGACACCTCTTTCCTCTTCTTTCCCCCATCATTCCTCCCCTCCTAACCCTCACCTCCAGGGCCTCTTCAAAACACCAGTGTTGAATACAGATCGTTTTGTAAATTTATTTTTTGATTTCCCTCTCCTTCCCTCCTTCCCTGTTCTCTCCTCCTCCTCTTTGATTTTCTGTAACAGAGAATTTATTGGCTAATGGTTCATATCTCCCCAGACTACGTGGTAGGATGCTGGTGGTCATAAACACACGGGTCCTTTATTGACATTCTTCCCCTGTACACTTGTACGGAATGTCTGACTGTGAGGGCAATGGCAAGGAGGTTGGTGTGGTTGGGTGCTGGGTCAACTTACAACTTATCCAGTCTCACCTCAAACCTACTCCAGCGCATCAATCGTGGAATCCAGATGTGGTAGGAATTTGCTATAAGGTGTAAACAGGTGGATTTTGGCATGGATTGGACCGGGGTGGGTGGTTGTAGGCTGTGGGGGGCGCGAGGGGTGGGGGATTGGATCATTACACACCAGCCTGTGATGATAGGCACTTTCCCTGCTGGTCAACACATCTCCCTTCACGTCAGCAGTTCTAGTCTCGCTGGTAATACTCCTCAGAAACAAATTGCGGGTGAAATAAAATCAAAGAAAAATTAAACAAAAAAAAGGTACGGCTTGCTCTGCTGCATGAAGAGGAAGTCCCTTGCCCAAATTTACACCATTGCCAATGAGACGGACCCTGGCCTGAATCATTTCCATCTGGGCTGCAACATAACTTTTGAGTAAGAGAAATAAACCGTTGGGATGTGGCACCATATCCTACCAAACTGGAGGCGTGAGCGCGGGGTGGCGGGGGGCGGGGTGGGGGAGGAGGGGGCAGGTGGGTTGGGGAAGTGAATCCAGTGAATCAAATCTCATTTCCATTGTCTTCACAAACCAGCAGGAATTCTTCAGATTTTTAAAATTTCATATCGCGCACTGTAAAATAGCCATTTAGTCAGACCGTCAGTCCCCTTTATCTGCGGATTAGCAAACCCGGGCCCAAACGCCAGCATGCTCACTGCAGTGTCTCTCTCCCCTGCTGTTTTCTGCTTGTGCTCAATTGGTGTCATTGGAGCACCAGGGAGGCTGCAGTATCTATGGAAACACAACCACATCTCAATTTGTATGCAGAGTCCTGTTAAACCAAATATACTGTATAGCAACCAGTGAAAATTCCTTCTGGGAGCACAAAGATACACAGCATATTACAAAAAAATAAGCACTTCATTGCGTATGTGTGTGTGTGTGTGCGTGGTGGGGGGGGTGGGTGGGTGAGTAAGAATAAGTGTATATAACTGATCTCTGCAGCCTTGCTGAGTGCAAACCACAATACGTTGCTTCAATGACACCAGACTTGTAAATTGTAGAATGCAGAAGCAATGCAAAGCAATTTGGCATGTGTCTGTGCCTCGCGTCTGTGTACATTGCCCGCCTGAACAAAAACAAATAAGGCTATAGCTCCTGTTTCCTGAAAGAAAAACTGTGCATATTTTAAATAGCAATTTTTTTTCCTTTTGCATGGAGAATGTCTTGAATTCAGAAAAAAAGTAGCTGAATTTAGTCTAACAATGGAAATGTATTATAAACTATGAAACGTCTGAAAATGCACTTCATTAATTCTCGGAAAGTTAAATCTTGTCAAAAATTTGTAAAGCAGGGTTCTAATTCTGGGATTTGGGAGTAGAAAAGCTGTAAAATACCTATGCGCTAAATCATAACTGGTTTGAAAAAAAGATAGTTGCTTTGTTTTTTTATACAATGAAAAAATATCTAAATGGTTATGTGTGTGGGGGGGAGCGAGGGGAGAATTCCATTTTAGGATTCGTAGGCTACAAAATTCTCTTGGCTTGACGTATGGTCAAGCTAGGAAACATCTGAATCAATTAAGATCTCTCACTTTGGTACAAATTATTTTTAAGTCATTTTATGTACATAGAAAATATACCTCGCGGGCGATGGTGAGTTAACAGCAGTTCTGTGACGAGTGTGAAAGGCTCATACGCTTTACGAGGGCCCGATTGAATCTGTTGCACAAGTGAAAGAAGTCTTTGTTCAATTGGTGTATAATACTACCTTTATGCTACTTTAAGTTAAATTTTTATAACACTCTCCTTCAGCACATTTGTGTTATTCCCTGGGCGTGCGGGTGTTTGTTGTATGGATGATTTATTTTCCTGCAGGTATCTTTTGCCCCTTTTTTCTCACCAATTTCTGGGCCAAGTGGGTTGGCTTGGGTTGGGCTGACCAGCAGCGCTTGGAGATAGCTGCTGAGATAATCGCTGAGGTAGTGAAGAGCGGAAGGAGAAATGGGACAATGGATGGAGCCATCATCCCAGCCCTAGTCTCATTGTTAGTCTCCACACCAAGGGCATGAATTATTTTTAATCTTTGCTGGTGTAAAATAGCAGTTTTACCAACAGTTCAGATTAGCAATTGTGGCCACATTAATGTACGTGCAGGATTAATTCTCTAGGGTATTTTTTTTGTTCCTGGTGTAAGCAGAGTTTGCTTATTGGCTCTGTGTCGTGTTTAAGAAACCAAAAGACTCACTTTGTTGTATTTGGGCCTCGGATCTCTGCATAGAGGAATTGAAGACGTCACACGAGAAAGGAGGACAGGACGTGACCAAACTTGGGACAGCTTTCCATCTGGATCAACTATCTGGTCTATTGCACATACAGTATTCTGCTTAGTGGAATTTTTTTTCATGTATAAGTACACCTTCTTCCTCCCCCTCCCCCCCACTTCGCCCACCCCTTGGTGTCTGGAAATTCAATGACTTCTGAACCTGAACGTTTGTTTTACAATCTCCAACCTTTACTTTTGGGTAAAACGGATATCGCAGTGTGATCGTTCCATCTCTGGACCGTGTGGTTGAGGCTTGCAGTGTAATCAATGTAGAGTAGTTTTAAGATGCTTGCTTGGCTCGATCACTTCATAGGGATTGGAATCTGAAATCTGATATCTCAGATATATCACACCCTTGTCTGCTCCAGTAACACACATTTATTATTATTTTTAACTGATCTCTTCTTAACTATAGGGAGGCCCTGTTAGAACACACCCCTGTTTAGCACATGTCTACTTGGAGCATGCGCGGACTCTAATATTGGAAGCATGGTACACTGGGCTTCTAGCATTGAGAAACTGGCTTCAAGTGCTAAGAATTTGCTGCCTTCCTGGTCATCAGGTCATTGCTAACATCACATCCTGCTCTGTGTGTGTGCAGCAAGTGGTGCTAACATCATCTCCTCACACTATGCATGTAGGAAGTGCTGCTGATCAGCAGTGACCTGGAAGTCAACCATTGTTTTGTACTTCATTTTAACGGGGGCCAGTCTGAACTTATAGAACAAGGTCACGTGTTCTCATAGGGTTGCCCTGTTTTTCCTGCAGGCCATATACTGTTCACCTTCCTGGCCACCCAGATGGGTTGACAACCTGCAATCTCCTGTCACCACAGCTCTTTTTTTTTGCTCGAGTGTGTGAGTATCAGGATGTGGGGCAACTTCCCTTTTTTACTCCCCATTCCTGTGGAATCCTGTAGCCTACTGAGTAGAGTACTCGCCTCGCAAACGAGAGGACCCAGGTTCAATTCCCCAGCAGGGTGAAACCTCAGGCAAGTTTCCTTACTCCACATACCTGTTTACCATGCTAAACAGTAAGAACCCGGTTGTTAGTTGATTGGCGGATCGCTTTTCTAGGGGTAATAATCCCTTACATCTCTCACATGCTGTGGAGCAGAGTTTTGAGTTCAGCTCTGTGCCAAGATTGGAAACTTGCCACATGGGTAGTTAAGAGCACAAATCTGCATTCCATTGGTTTGGCGCAGAATACAATTGTGTGATCAGTTTTGCAAGCAGCTTTAGGTGTTGTGATACAGTATACTATATCTACATATAGATATACATTTATAAACCTTTATATATATATATATGAAACACCTATCATTTGCGCTGACTGGAACCAGGAACCTAATCCAAAGACAGTCATGAAAATCCACACTGGTCAACTGCATGTTGATTCAGAAATTATTTTAAGGTCAACTGAAGCAGCTAAAAGTAAGATACAACAAAATACAATGGATTGAATTAGTTTTCAGTGAAGACACAATCTATTTTGATGCTGGTTTTATATCAGTGAATAAGAGAACTACATCTAGACCAGAACACGTTAAAAATGAGGAGGGTGTTATTGGGCGGTAACAAGAGGGTAATAAGAGGTGATCAGGGCAAGTTTTAAAGTAATTAATTTGAAGCATTTCTAAGATGCTTTTACTAAAGCAAAAATCAGAGTGGGTTGTGGATTACTCATAATTAGGTGCCAGTCTCCGCGTTGCACGTGTAACAGGCACCAAAAAGACTACTATTTAAATGTTGCATATCAAGCATTTTGTACTGCACGTTTTTAATGAAATATTATTCTGCGTATACAGTGGGGGGTGGGGCGGGGAGGGTAAAAAAATATTTAAGATATTTGTAGCTTGCTAGGATTGTAACACAGGCACTGTATATTGTTGAATGACTCAAAAATGAATCGAGTGCTCTTGGTGGTTCAGCGGGCAGATGCACTTACATTGAGTTACATTGGGCAGCAGTGGTGCACTGAAATCAACCCCAGTGTTTCTGAGCTGGGGAGGGTTGAGACGAAATGCAGCCAGGATTCCTGCTCCTGTTTGCGGTTCACTGGCCGGACCGTTAAGGTGTGTCATTGTCATGTGAGGACAGAATCGGGCTCAGCTGTAACATTCCCTTCCCACACCCACCCACTGCAGTTGAAATAAGCCTACTGAGATTCCCAGCTGGGCTAAAGGCACATGTGGAGTCATAGCTCAGCACACAGGAGAAATGGATATTCAAAATACTTAGGATAGGACCATTAAAGTCATTTTTTTCCAAATAAATGGGTAAAATTGGGCGAAAATAAGGATTTATTTCACAACATCAGAAAACCTCAAAATAAGATGGATACTAACCAAACAGTTACTTTATTCATTCACCACACTGATTGGGTTTGGGTCCCAGTGTGGATAAGCAAACAATGCGGATAATTGGACATTGCACGAAATACAAATTGTCTAACTAACTAAAACCTTGTTCCA